TTGGTGGAGGCATTCAGACCCTTATAATTTTAGACCCTTATCGTTGCTTATGGGTCTTGAAACTTGAACCTCAATGGTGCTGACCCTTGAAAATGATAAAAGCTAAATTTTTGACCTGTTTGAAATTCAGCTATTCAAACTAATCAAACGGTCACCCGGCACAACGAAAATCTTGAAAAATTTTGGGACCCGTCGGGGTCACGGTCAGCTACGAAGAAAATCCCCGAAAAAGTCAGTAGTATCTTTCTAGCCACCGAGAGAGTCACTCTAATCACAGTATTGTATCGCCGTAACCGCTCAATCGAGTACACCACCGGAGTACATCAACGCGATATATTTGAGTCTAGCGCTTCGTACAGCGTCTCTATTTAATTTAATTCAAAAATCAATTGATTCCGAGTTAACCGTCAATTATTTTGAGTCAATCATCAAGTTTAATATCGAGAGAATCTCAAGTGCAGTGCATTTCAAATGCACTCATCAAATCAAACTGCAAATCGTCATTTAATTGACTTTGTCCAGCAACTCAACAGTGTAACATTATTAATTTATCAAGATGCGTGGGTTATTCCACAATAAAGTACATCAACAGTGTGGTTTTATAATTCCGCGTGTTTTAATTTTCCACCTCCTTCCACAATTCCACTTCTCCCCAACCGGCATCTCAATTTAGCCTCAATCTCAAACATGACTCTCAATATTTCTGATCCTTAGACTAGCCGTACTATCTACTATCTACTGTTGTAGAGAGTAGATAGTTGGGAGCGGCTGCGTGGTGGGGGCTACTCTCTAGAGAGTAGATAGTTGGCGGCAGGTGCAGCTTTGTGAAGTTAGCACCCCACCTTGATGAATTGAAACAAAAATATGATATTTGGTAGATTTTGATCGCCACATGATAGTAGTAGCATTTTTTTTGTTTGTAGTTGAAAAATAAGCGCCCCATACATTTTCAAAAGACAGTTAGGAACTATTTCATAGTTACAGCTAAAAGGACATCGGATTCTTACCTGCAATCGTTTGTAGTAGATTGTAGTTCTGAAATTTTTCCTATCCAACTTCAAATAAACGCCTCATTCATTTACGAAAGATAGTTAGGAACTATTTTACAGTTGCAGCTCAATTGGCATCGGATTTTCATCTGCAATCGTTTGTAGTTGATTGTAGTTTTGAAATTTTTCGAATCCGACTTCAAATAGACGCCTCATTCATTTTTTAAAGACAGGAACTATTTTGCAGTTGCAGCTCAATTCGCATCGGATTTTAATCTGCAATCATTTATAGTTGTTTGTAGTGCTTGCAGATTGTCAGTCCAATGAAAAAAATTGACGGTATGGTTTTTATGAAATGGTTCCGAAAAATTATGTTTCATAAAGAACCTGAAAAAGATCAACTATGTACGAGGATTTGGTTGTAGTTGTTTTGAATGGTGGAAAAAATTAGGAAGAATGAAAGATTCTTATCTGTAATCGTTTGTAGTTGACCTTATTCCCGAAATTTTTTCAATCCGAATTCAAATAATCATGTCATTCATTTTCGAGAGATACTTAGGAACTATCCTGCAGTTCCAGCTTAATTGACATCGGATCCTTTTCTGCAATCGCTTGTTGATTGTAGTTTTGAAATTTTTTCAATCCGAATTCAAATAAGTGTTCTATTTATTTTCATAGTCCAAGTGGGGACTGAGTGATAGCTATAGCCAAACTGACGACGGATTCCTGCCTACAATCGTTTGTAGTTGTTTGTAGTACTCATAGATTTCCAATCCAATGGAAAAGAAGGACGTGAGGAAGATCAGATACATAGGAGGATTCGTTTTTAGTTGTTTGTAGTAGTAAGAAAAAGTGAAAATGAAATAGATTCTTATATGCAATTATTTGCAGTTAATTGTAGTTTCGAAATTTCGTCAATTCGAATTCAAGTAAGCCTTCAATCCATTTTCGAAAAACAGGCACTATTTTATAGCCGGAGCTTAAGTGATATAGGATTTACATCTGCAATCGTTTGTAGTTGATTGTAGTTTTGAAATTTTTTGAATCCGAATTCAAATAAATGTTCTATCGGTTTTTGGAGCCCAAGTGGGGGCTGAGTGATAGATATAGCTAAAATGACGACGGATTCCTGTCCACAATCGTTTGTAGTTGTTTGTAGTACTCATAGATTTCTCATCCAATGGAAAAGAAGATCAGCTACATAGGAGGATTCGTTTTTAGTTGCTTGTAGTAATAAAAAAAATCGGAAGTGAAATAGATTCTCATATGCAATCATTTGCAGTTAATTGTAGTTTCGAAATTTCGTCAATTCAAATTCAAGTAGGCCTTCAATCCATTTTCGAAAAACAGTTAGGAACTATTTTATAGCCAGAGCTTGAGTGATTTGGGATTTACATCTGCAATCGTTTGTAGTTGATTGTAGTTTTGAAATTTTTTCAACCCGAATTCAAATAAATGTTCTATCGGTTTTTGGAGCACAAGTGGGGACTGAGTAATAGCTATAGCCAAAATGACGACGGATTCCTGACTACAATTGTTTTTAGTTGTTTATAGTATTAGCAAATTTTGAGTACCGATGCTATGGTTTCTACGAAATGCTATCGAGGAATTATTTTTCAATAAGGACCTGGAAGAGATCAGATACCTAGGAGAATTACTTTGTAGTTGTTTATAGTGGTGATTAAAATTAGGAAGGAAGGAAAATTTCAATCTGCAATCGTTCGTAGTTGAACGTAGTTATGGAATTCTTTTAATTCAAATTCAAACATACGTTCAATCGAATCTTGAATAACACTCAGGAACTATTTCACAGTTAAAATTACATTGGGTTAATGATTGAATATGAGAATCTATTTCATTTTCAATTTTTCTTACTACTAAAAACAACTAAAAACGAATCCTCCTATGTATGTGATCTTCCTCACGTCCTTCTTTTCCTTTGGATTGGAAATCTATGAGTACTACAAACAATTACAAACGATTGTAGACAGGAATCCGTCGTCATTTTAGCTATATCTATCACTCAGTCCCCACTTGGGCTACAAAAACCGATAGAACATTTATTTGAATTCGGATTGAAAAAATTTCAAAACTACAATCAACTACAAACGATTGCAGATAAGAATCCGATGTCCTTTTAGCTGTAACTATGAAATAGTTCCTGTCTTTTGAAAATGTATCGGGCGCTTATTTTTCAACTACAAACAAAAAAAATGCTACTACTATCATGTGGCGATCAAAATCCACCAAATATCAAATTTTCGTTTCAATTCATCAAGGTGGGGTGCCAACTTCACAGAGCTGCTGGGATCGAGTAGCTAAGGATAACCCGGAGATTGAGCGGTGGCCATTCAACTGAGGCGCAGGGAAGCATAGTAGTTAAATAGGACAGGTTCTGGCTCAAGCTACCCCTCACCACCGCCAGATGGCAGCACTGTCGTCGAATATTCTCAAAGGGATGACGTCATCGCTGAGTCACCCGGAGGGGGAATGATGACTCACGCGTGGTGAGGGGAGTATGACGTCATATGGGGGCGGGGATATCACGTAAATCCTGTCGAGACTTGCGTGTGATGATTCATTTCAGGTAGGGGGCGGCACGATCGTTCGGTTCTAGGGGTGGAGGTATCCATATTGCTCATTAGCTCGCGGAGTGGGGGTACTCACTATCGAGATATGAATGAAATATGATACGCGATTATTCTCGAATATTCTCGATGGTTCTGGACTGTTCCATGATGAATCATCAATTGAAAGTTAGAGTGGGGATTCGCTATATAATTCGCACACGCTGAACGATCCACACTCAATCCGAAATCAAGTTCAGTGCATCAAGAATCATTATCCGCAGTGGGATAGAAAAATATGTCCTCGTTATTGTTATACGCATAATTATCATGGGAATAGTGGGGGGATCAACCCTGATGAAGACATCATCCATCAACACTTTGATGAAGATGTTCACGAATTCGCAAACTATCTGGTTAGTGATTTGCATTGTCTATGGGACAACTATGAGACATTAAAAGCTGAGCGACATCCGGATAGAAGTGATTGCTCGCAGTGTATCAAGCGTTACGAACAATTATCCCACATTATCCTGAGTATTGACCATCTACAAAAGTTGAAGAAATTCTGCGAGGAACTGAGAGGGAAAATTTCGAAAGTGAATGATGCTGAGTTAGAACCATTGAATGTTTGTGAGATTCAATGGTTGCACAGCGTTCCACCATACTGTCTTCATGAGGATGAAGTTGTAACGAAACTGGTAATTCACGCACCACTTGAACTTCCACCGGTTGATGGCTTCATCAATAAAATACGCAAGAACTTCAAAGATTTGTATTCAAAATTCAGAGCTGTTACAGTGAAAAAATGTTATCCTTGTGAGAAATTGTCTCAGATATTAGGAGCGATTGGAGCAAATTTCCAAAATTTGCNATGAAAAAATGTTATCCTTGTGAGAAATAGTCTCAGACATTAGGAGCGATTGGAGGAAATTTCCAAAATTTGCGGGATACGATTCAGCTACTCAGTTTTGAGTATGAGGTTTTCTTCGGTTCTCGTGGTGATGCGAAGGTGGATTTAGTGTAAAACGTTTGAAACTATTATGCATATGAGTGAACAGAAAGAGAGTATGAAGAACGTTAGTTTTCAACTGGAGCCCCAAGTTCGCTTGTTGTTGCATTGGGATTATACACATCGATCCGCCCGTCGAGGTCCTTGGGAAGAGATCGCTCGAGATCATGACCGCTTCTAACGTAGAATATATTCTTTTGAGAAAATACTAAATCCTATATTATCAAAAGGACACAGACTGTTTTCAAAACATGTTTCATATAGTTTTAGGATATTGATTATCATAGTAATGTTTGTAAGGAAAGGATATGTACAATAATAAGATCTAAGATTTTTTAAAAATGATAATAAAAAATTTATTTATGTTTTAATATACATAGTTGTACTGATTTAGTTCCATTTCTCCCATTTCTTACCCTCCGAATTCAATTTTTACATCAGTTTCTTTACTCCACCACTGATGGGGTTATATTCAATAATCTGATCATGAAGGATGAGGCGGTACACTGATGTGTTGGGTGCGAAAGGCATAGAAGATTCAAATTCCAGACGAATATCGACAGGACCCGTTTTCAAATACTCATTCTGCTTTGAACAGTCGATTACGATTAATGGAGCTTTTGTGATAAATTTTTCTCTGATCAATAATGGTTCAGATTCCTTGCTATAATAAGACTCCTGAAAGTTCACGTACATATTGTATAGGGTTGAATATTGATTACGATCAATATCCAAATTCAAATTCCCATATGGGTAGCTTTGCGAGTTGAGGAAAAGCTTCACATCTCGGATTCCGCAATGATCAAAGTTGTTGGCGTTAGCTGTCTGGCTATTTTTACGGTTGGTTTGAAATCCCAGAATGACGTATCGTGGTTTCTCCAATTGAGATGATGTCTTCACAACCCAAACATGCTTCTGAGTTGTGGGGAGAAGAGGGTACTCATACAATTCCCATGTACGGAAGCCCATCACAATAGGTGTGTCTTTTGCAATGAAATTCAGCAGCTTCACCTTACGCTCATCAGAAACCTTCACATAACGAATTAGCCACTCAATCTTCTGAAGGTTAATCTTCCATTTCTCCTCAGGATTCTGTGGGCTGACAGGTCTCTGAAGTATTGCGTTGATGTCAGTTTTCGATCTCGTGATGATGAGCTCATGCTTTGCATTCACAACAATCTTCTGATAATCCTCAGCGAAGCCGAGCAAGAGGCTTAGTGGTATTGAGATATCAAAATACCCAGCGTTATCAGTGATTTTCTCACTGCTATCCATGCTGTCATCCTTAATCCAGCCAGCATTTTCCATTAGGAACCATTGGTTGGGATATTGGGAAACATAGTTTTTCATAATGCTCGTTAAACCCACATTTTTCGCTCGATCAATCTCCATTCCATTGAGCTCATAACGAATTTCCTCAAACAAATGACAGATGGCATTACTCACGAGTCTAGTTCTCTGTGTTGGTGTTGTCCCGTTGTCAGTGGTCAATCGACCATAAATATACAAGTAACCCTTGCTAGGTAATAGACATAAATCTTGATGTTGCACAGTAATGGATATTTCATCATTGTTCCCGTACGATGATAAGGCGAAGGGTTGATGAGTATGCATCTCATAGTGAGAAACAGACTCATCGAACTCAATAGATTTTTGAATTTTCAAGATGTCTTCCATTCTTATTTATAAATTCACACTCGAGGTCTCAACTTCAGACTCTTGAGGAACTGGATGCTTTCACGTGTTAGCGGCTTGCTGGGTCTGTGACGACTGTTCGTCTTTGGGGGGGATGACTCCNATCGAACTCAATAGATTTTTGAATTTTCAAGATGTCTTCCATTCTTGACGCGAGTGAAGCAATTCGTGAGAAGCACAAACTGATAAAATTGGGGGAGGAAAACACAGAAAAAACTCTGAATGAAGTTTTCAAACCAGTGGTTACACCGTTACAAACATTTTTAGATCAAACTTCTCAAGTTAAAATTCCAAGAAAAAAACAGAAATCGAAGGTATTGGAATCTCTCGAATCATCAAATTCACGGAAACGCATCACGAAAACAGATGACTCAGATATTCCAATAAAGATTCAACGAATGGAGGACCTGAGTGATTCAAATATCTCAACAAAACTACCATCACGCTCAGAGTTGAATACAAATATTGACATACCATCATTTCCTGCAATGGAAATGGAAAATACTCATGATGAAGGTGATTCTGACTCTGTGGAGAATAAATAATTTATCACAAGAATATTTACGATTATTTGATACTTCAGGTGGGAGTGCAGAATTGGACTTGAGAACGGGAATTCGCAAGTACAAAGGTAATTGGGTGATTGGAATAACACCCATCAAATTTGAAGGGAGGGTAATAGTAATTGGTGGTGAAAAATATCATCAAACTCCAGGACTTCTCGAAATATTATTCAAAAAAATCCCAAAATAGAGAAGGTAACAGATCATGATAAGAGAGTATTCTCGAAAATCGTGAAGATGACACATCTTGATAGGAAATATTTCAATCCAGCGAAAGGTCTAAAGCAACATAATGAGAAATTTGTGAATTTCATGATGAAATCCCTCCGGAGGTAAAGGATTGTCGAATCAAATGATTGTAAAGAGCAAACGTAACGTAGATTATGTGTACTGGGATGATCCAAACGAGTTGGTGGAGCGACTCCGATTATTACATGCATCTCAAGGGGCTGGAAATAATAACCATAATAACGAAATAATTTCAATAATCGAGGAACTGCGAGAATCCGGATCGATATATGAGGAGTGATTACTTGACTAATGTATCAGTTTCAAAATGAGTGTTGATGTGTTTGGACGACGTTTAAATGCTGGTGTAGGATCTACACATCGAAATAATCAAGGACCACCAGGACGAGGCTTTAAGCTGACAACAGACGGACAATTTGATCTAAAGAATAAGAGATTATACAACATTGCTGATGCGATAGAAGACAATGATGCCATTTCCATGAAAGTACTCAAGCAAGTAATAAAAAATGTACAGATCAACTCACTACAAAAACTGATATCCGAGAAGTTTGAAGTCATTCAGGGATTAGATGAGAGACTGAAAACATTGGAGAGTTCAGATATATATGACTATTCAGTTGAATTGAATGAGAAGAACAGTGTAGCAGTTGCACCAGAAGGCGGAATAAGAGTAAAGCGTGTCAGGAGAAGTGATGGTGAAAATCCTAGGAAAAAAAGAAAGGTTCAAGACGGAAAAAGAAGCTCTAGTTGATGAACTCCATAGACCTGTGCGTAGGAAGTATCCCCGACGTCAAGTCGAAATCAGAGGTCTCAATGAAACTTGGCAGGCAGATCTCGTTGACATGTCAACATATGCTAAGGAAAATAATGGATATAAATTTCTTCTCACAATTATTGATATTTTCTCCAACTACGCTTGGGCCGTACCAATCAAAACAAAAAGTGGATTAAATGTATCTGAAGCAATGGAATTTGTGCTCAAACAAGGTTGTGTACCTAAAAATTTACATGTTGATCAAGGAAAAGAATTTTATAATAAAGAATTCAAAGATCTTCTACAAAAATTCAACATAAAAATGTATTCAACTTTTAGCAATTTGAAGGCATCAATTTGCGAGCGTTTCAATCGAACATTAAAAGAGAGAATGTGGAAAAAAATTTCTCTTCAAGGATCACATAAATGGCTGAATATACTTCCTCGAATCATATCATCTTATAACGACACAGTACATCGGACAATCAAAATGAAACCCAAGGATGTGAATAGTGGGAACGAGAAGTTCGTTCAACACCGAATTTATGAAAAATATCAAAACAATCATATCAAGAAAGCTAAATTTAAAGTTAATGATCCAGTGAGAATCAGCAAATATAAACATGTATTTGAAAAAGGTTATACACCTAATTAGACGACAGAAATTTTCAAAATCAAGCAGATACAAAAGACTGATCCAACTACTTATAAATTGATGGATTATCAGAATAATCCAATTGAAGGTAGTTTTTATGAGGAAGAATTGGCAAAAGTACAACATCCTGACATCTATCTCGTTGAGAAAGTCATTAAAAAACGGGGGAATAAATTGTTTGTGAAATGGTTAGGCTTCAATGACTCTCATAACAGTTGGATTAATGAATCCGATGTGTGAAGTATAAAAATTTTTCTTTTTCATTGTCTGCAATGTACAAATATTGATGGGTAATAAAACAAAAATCAAAACCAGAAATGTTTTCCATTATTTACTTTTCTTTTATTAATAGTCCTAATCTCAAATATTTACAATATAATTATTGAACGAGATTGTTGTATCCCCAAGGTATTGTATCTGTGGTGTGGGATAAAAGAATACGTTTGTCATCCTCCCAACTTAATGCTAACTTTTTCTGACATATTGTGTGCACCTCATGTTTTTTACTATGGATCAAATACTGATTTTTAAAAATATGCTCATTATCAAGGAGACAGCTTTTGTAGTCATCGAATGTAATTTTTCTTATTGTGGTTGTTTTAACCCCTTTAGCTTTCTTTTTAGCTTTATCGTCATCTAACATCCTAAATGCATATTTCTTCGCTCGCAGACCAATAAATTCAACCATGATTCGACCATTGCTCTCATCTTTCATAAAACCCAGCACTTTTTTGTTCTCCAATGGTATTTCATACTCATTATCTTGTTGATAGTCGGATGTGTCAAATTTGTGTATATCTTGTCTATTACACTCATATATATTAGGCACTTGAAACAAATATAACAAACTGTCTGTATCGGTGTACATCAATTTTGCGGCGGCTCGAAATTTGTGTTTAACATAGCTATAATGAAAATCGTACACAATCGTTTTCGATAAATCAAGAATTGTGAATCCAATATAGATTGGTTTCTTGAAATAAACAGCTGTTCGATTCATTTCGATGATGATCATATCCTCATCAAACACCACACAGCTGTGAAAATTTGATTTTGCTATCAACGCTTTTGCGCCATATCGACCACCCCATTTCGTGATAAGCTTGATGTCTTTCTGCTTTCTGACATTTTCCATTGTTTTTCCGAATACCGCATTATTCATCAACTTATAAAAGTTCTTCTCAAATTCATTCATTGATTTTTGTCTTTTAACTGTATTCAGATCAATATATGATTTTAACCAGGGCTTCTGATTGAATTTCAAGATGCGATGAATATGTTTTAGTTCCATGCCAAGAGCTGTGTATTGTTTCAAGTTCCGATAATGTATTACATACTTTTTTTTCGCATAAAGTGTGGTCACTAATTTTGCATGTTTACTTCCAGGAGGGATAAAATGCTCGGGGCAATGAGGAAAATCTTTATGTAGTTCGTGTAATTCTAGAGGATATTCCAAATCAACTTCGAGGATGTAGCCAACCGGAGAATCATCAGGAACATTCAAAACATCTACAGAACTGCTATCAACCCATGAAAATGAATCATAGGGTAAACTAATACTCCTCGCAGCACCATATATATTGTTCACATCGTAGTACATTAAATATGATGTTCCGGTTGTTGGATCATAAGACGCACCCATGAATGGATTATTGGCGTGAGCATATCTATTCGCACATTGAGATACGCCACCTCTGATACCTTTCTCAATGAATAGTATCATTTCAGAATCAGTGAAAAGCTCTAAATTCACTTCTGTGTATTTCAACATTGCATCGAAAGCTAATCCTGGTGCTGTGTAATAATACAATGGGTCCAGTTCATACGTAGAAGAGCAGCTACGGCGAAAATTTTCAAATATATCAGCTGACAATAAGACATCAACATCTTAAGACATCAGTCTGAAGATAAAGATCTCAATATTCTCCCAGCGTCTTGATATGAAACTCATTCCAGACGTTTATAGCGTGTTGATAATCTTCATCAGATACATACACATCCGTCAACTTGGAATAAAATTCTACTTTTTCTGGTAATGTAGTTTCATCCAATTTACTCCAATCATCAATGAATTCATAGGGGAATACACCCTTCCGGCACAGCAAACCAAATTTTGTTGAATCGGGCTGATATTTTCTTGTAATTTCTTTGTGATCATTATCAAGGTAATTGGCTTATCTCTGAAGACTGCTTGCCATGAAACGAAAAGAATCGATAAATCTTAAATTCACACAAGTGCCTGCAACATACTTAGTGAACGATATGTAGCGTTCTTTATTCACCGAAAGAATTTTTATGGTGCCTTCGAACAACGTCGCAAAACTTCGAATGATGAAGTGAGCGTCATAACCTGAGAAGTTATGGAATACAACAGGAATAGTATGAGAGTCTTGATACGCAAGATTGCAACTATTGTGTGCAGCTCCACGATATTTCCCTGTCAAATGACAATGATCACGTACCTTGTCGTTTCCAACGAAAGGTTTTTTACACATAACATATTGTTGCTAATTGAAAATCATCAATTTGTTTAGGTGATAGATCCTCCATTTGTAAATTCCTCTTTAAACATGAATGTACTTGACATGCCAACATCTTCATCTGTTCTGCGAACCACTCAATACAGTTGGGGCCTCGGTGAACTTTCAGTTGAGATAATGAATCATCATAACTACATTTTATGTAGAAAGCAACACTATGTGGGATGTGATGATCATTAGCTTTAGTGTCTATCATACATTCCAAGTCTGCATAGACAGCGAATGGAACAATTTCCGCATGTTTAAAATTTTTGAAGTTCAATATTTTTCGGTTTTCTTCTGGCATAATCATTCTCACTTTGTTTAAATTTGTACAATCATCCCAGTGTTTTTTGAAGGAATGTTGATGACTGAAATGGCATAGACATTGGTCACATAACCATGTAAGACCTTTTCGTTTTGAAATTTGAGAGCTGACTAAACGTGATAAATTGCGAATCCACGCAAAATGAAAAAATGATTCATCAAATTCATCCAAATTACTCTCAACCATCAATAAATGGATAGTTTCTCGAGTGGCTAGTCTCTTACTCAAGTACACAGGAACGATGGTGTTACTGTTACCGTTCTGCTCTATGCCATAAACATTACTCCTGAGGTCATTCATTTCCTTAAACTTAGGATGCTTTTGAGTCTCATAGGAAAATTGAGCCCTTCATACTTGAGTATGTTCCGATAATGAGGATATGAACTCGGACCATTTGCATTAGTATTTGTTGGATGAAGAGCGGCTACAACTGCCCACAAGAAACAACGCTGATCGCTGTTTTGTATATTAACTACGGCTTTTTTTGGTTTGAATATTCTTTGGTAACTCAATGAATGTTGAATTTCCACCAGTCAAAGGCTCAAATTTGTTGATATTGACCACTAAATTTATCATGTCACTCAATGACCAACCGGAGCCAGTTTCTTGAAAGTCTTCCAGTTTTGTCTGAAGATCACTAATAACATATTGATTGAACCAATCATTTAAATCTGTTGCCGGGAAAATCACTTCATTTTTTGTAGTAAAGTGCTTCGTTTCGTCTTGAATGTCCTCTAAGTGTGTTAATGTAAAGTTACATGAGAGCACACATTTCACTCTGATATTACCATCATTATTTCGAGCATTTGCCAAACGAGTAACAATAACGGTTTTGCAATCCTTCACGAATAAATTGACATCTTTGTGAATCAAATTAATCACGACTCCTGTCTTGATTCGATATTTGAATGCTGACTGTAGATCCTTCCATTGTACTCGATGGAAGATCTTGTTGACAGATTTTTTTCTCTTCATTCCACCACCATATTTCAAATGGTGTTTAAAAATTGCAACATATCTCAGTAATTGACCGATCGTAGCTTGAACCCCACTTTTTTCCCCACTAGATTGCACATTTTTAAGATATCTGTTTAACAACTTGATATTTTTAATTGCGAAATTATTTACATTCTCTATCTCATCAGGTGGAGGATAGAGAAGATTCTCAGATACTTCCTGCAACACTCGCAACAATTTCTTTCTCTGTCCATCCATGATAGGTGGGATTCTGAATACTGAGCAGCTCGAGAGAATTTCCAGCCTTAAATACGCTCAAGATCATGACTCATTTCCTATGGAAATTATGAGTCATTTGTGTACAAAACAAAAAAACAAGTTCAAGCGCTCAGATTTCACGTTCTCGAAGTGCTGGAACATTCAAGAATTTACTGGAGGCATCATGAAAGTAATTTTAGACTGCTCTCCAGATATTTCAGAATGATGACGTCATTATTTGATAAGATAAAGATGACTCACCACTTATAAAAATAATAATGAGTCATTTGTACATAAAGAAGTGGTGGCGATTCGCTCAGATATTATGTCCTGAAAGCTCTAGAATATTCTCAATACAACTCGAGAAAGTTCTAGATGATTCTTTTCGAATATTCAAGAATGATGACGTCATTATTTGATAAGATAGGGTATATAAATGCTTTGGCTAAAGCGCTTTCACATCAGTTCCTCAGCTACTTTTGGAGTGTGCAGTTGAAGGAGATTCGTTACCTCAGAGATACCTCAAGCAAAAGAACTTATTTTTCTACCAATTTATTCAACGGACGGAAAAATGGATCTATCGTTAATTAATAACATTGCAAGCAGCAACTACTTGCCGACTAAGAAGATGATGGAGCTCGACCCCACGATTAATTACTCTGTTACCAGATTTAAAACCACTCCAGAAGATTTGGTAAGAGTATAATCGTCACTATTGATAATACCTTTACGGTATTCTTGCCGGAGAGAGTGGTGAAATTGCTTCTTGGGGATGTAACAGTCTACGAGAACCTGCAGAAAACTGCTTCAGAGAATCGACTTCAACTCAAGTGCTTGGGTAAAGGAACAACATTCGAATTCATAGAGATTTAAGAGACACATCGCAAACCGAAAAGAAATCCAGCTGCAAGTGTTATTCTTATTTTGTACTATTATACAAATCAATAAATCAAAAAACAATTTTACATTTACCAAACCCACTAACTTTTTCTTATTTCCCTTAATTTTATTCATAAATATTTGATTTAGAAATTTGTTGTAGAACAGAATGAGTCATACCCATAACACCCCTGTTAACCATTTTTTTTGTTATATTTATTGAAACTCGAATAGAAATTCATTTGTATTGTAACGTGTTATTTTTGTCTTTCGACCGTTCTGCGGTTTCATTTAAACATCCAGACGAGAAGTCACTGCGAAAGCGAAGCGAGAGTCAAAATCTAGATTTTGTTCAACTATTTATTGAGTATCTTTTGGTTTGTATTGAATCATTCCACTCCACCGTTCATCGGAGCACATCGGGGGATCTGGATGAGCCTAAACGAGGACTGGGATGAGATGCAAGAATTTAGATGCTGGAATTGGGTCTCGGAGCAACGGTTCTGCAGAGTCTGGGGTGGATCTGGAGTTTGAATATCCCCGCCGGTTGAGGAGTACGCAGGTTGGCCGTGTCGCGGCGCCAGCTACTGGAGCCAGAATTGGAGAGCTCGAGCACCGAATGAATCTAGGCGAAAATCATATTTTTGGTCCATTGTTGAAGGACCCGAAACATAAATTAAGGGTTATTTATCATTATGCGATTTGTGAGTAGTTGGAACTACATTTTTATCGCTTTGTTTTATCCCTGTGGATTTGGAGGGAAAATTAGAAATCACGTGGTTGTCCGGTGTGGATTACGGTGGAGAGAGAGTTGACGTCGTCATCACTCTCCAATCAAAAGTCTCTTCGGTGAAAGTAACAGCCAATGAGAGGGCTGGATTTTCGGCAATCGAGGAAATGTGCCATCGAGCGTGCCGAGGAGATTACTTCTCGTTTGGATGGCGAGACTGACAGTTCGCAAGTTTTTCGTGAATTATAAAAATTATTACCATGTTCCGACGCCCGAATTCTCGTTGTCTCCGACATCTTGCTTTGACGATTTATTGGGAGTCCCAACTTTTCGGAGAATTTGTTGCTGAGATTTCTTCAGTTCTGGTGAGCGGTGGATCTAATTAATCGTTAATTTATTGATTGTAATAGAGATCGGGATCTCGTGAAATTAGCTTTCTTTTGGACAAACGGTTTTCGTCCATGGCGAATGACGCCATTAGATTTTTGGCTTTCGGATTTTGACGAGATCTGGTTTCTCGCTCAGCGGAGCATTATAACGGTTTCGGGAAAAATTCAGTGAACCTCTTGTTGTATCAATTTACGAGTTTTTTTTTAAAAATATTTATGTCGGATTCTTCCGATTGAAATTCAGTGTTTCAAACATTTGTCGTAAGTAGTAACTCTCGTTTCGCATTCACTTTGGAACAAATTCGGAGATTCAAAGTGGAATTCTCGGGGCAATTTGTCAGCTTCAGGGAATTTTCGCATTATCGCTGTTCGTATATTACTTTATTTCTTTGATTTAGAATTTTGTCATTACAGAACAGTGAAGGAATTATCGACGTGATTTGGAATCACAGCGTCTTTGTCGATGCTTGATTTTCGTGTTGTTGTATCGTGTAGCCGTGACCTTGCGTTAGGCAGATTCACCGGCTCTGGTAATTGTTATTAGTCTTTCTCGTGGTAATCCGGATCGCGTCGTTTGAGAATCAGACTACAATTTTGAATTATTTTTCTCGCAACAGTTTTCGTTGTTCTTCTTATCGATTCCTTTGTCGTGACATTAGACCTTGCAGTAACCCGGTTAGTTACTTTATTTTTTTTTTTGACTTCTTGATAGATTTTCCCATTTATTCACTTTCTTTACGTTATCTTTGACTAACATTTTAGTAATGGACGGATGACGTTGAGGGAATTGATTTTATATCGAGTCTTTAGATCGGTGTATGAAATTTGTGATTTTCTGATTGTGATTTAGAGCATAACGGAAAGAGAAATAGTTCGAAAATACCGGGGTTTAATTAATTAGATAACTGATTCACATTTCAATACTGGAATTTTCTAGAAATTGATTAAATAATATTTCTCCCCGAAAGTCTGAATTTTCTTATCATTTATTAGTAATAAGGAACCCAGTCATTTCAGGGTAATTTTTATTGANTGATTAAATAATATTTCTCCCCGAAAGTCTGAATTTTCTTATCATTTATTAGTAATAAGGAACCCAGTCATTTCAGGGTAATTTTATTGAGAGCGGATTTTGTGGAACCCAGCCGCCTCCGCGGTTGATCTGAGCTGTCGGCGATCGCTCTCTCATCGTTGTTTGTTTTATCGCTCGTTCGATTTCGTCTTCGATTTTGGTGAACGTTTCATACGTTCTGGCGCCCAACCTTTGGTTTGTCGTTGGGGTCGCTGAGGGCTGCGTATCTATTATTTTCCGCAGAGGGAAGAAATACGTCACAGCTTTTTGGCGCCCAACGTGGGGCCCTACGGGGTAATTGCGAAATTTTTTATTTTTTATTCAAAACGTGTCGAATTCTCTCGGATTCGGTAAATTTCAATTTTTATTGTCGTTTGTCATTTTTATCGAGGTTTAAGAATTTAAAAACTCTTTTGACCTCTGATATTCGGGTTTGTTTTTTTGTGGCGTTACCGGCGCCTGACATATCGCCAATTGAATTGCATTTTCGGTCGGGATAATTCGATTTTGAGATATTAGTATTGAAGCAATTAGGTTCGTTAGGCCTTTTCGGAATTGTATCGGGATTTAATTTGTCGAAATTTATCGGGTATTCGCGATCATTTTTCGAGGTATTTTCCGGAATTATCGTTTTTTTATTATTATCGAATTCTTGGTTCGTTTTTTTTTTTTTTTGGAAATATCCTGTTATGACTGGTTTAGTTTAAGGAAACGAGAGTTACTAAATTTATTATTGCGGACTTTGTCTTGTGTCTATTTGTTTTGGAATTTGTGTTTTGACCATTGTTTTTTTTGGGGTCTTGCCATTGATTTTTGGGATTGATTGGCGATTTAAGCGATATCGATTTGTTTATTTTTGGATTTGATTCATTTTCTTTTGATTATTCGCGTGCGACGATTCGACCATGGTTGAGCCAACTCTGTTTAACAGTTCGACATCAAATGGGACGGCGCCTAAAACTATTCCTGGAATTCCCCCAGGGTTTTCGCTTGATCAATGGATCGCTTCGTTAACAATCGNGAATTTGTGTTTGGACCATTGTTTTTTTTGGGGTCTTGCCATTGATTTTTGGGATTGATTGGCGATTTAAGCGATATCGATTTGTTTATTTTTGGATTTGATTCATTTTCTTTTGATTATTCGCGTGCGACGATTCGACCATGGTTGAGCCAACTCTGTTTAACAGTTCGACATCAAATGGGACGGCGCCTAAAACTATTCCTGGAATTCCCCCAGGGTTTTCGCTTGATCAATGGATCGCTTCGTTAACAATCGAGCAATTGAGAGATGTTTTGCGTGCATACAGTGCTAGCGTAGTTGGGGATATTGGAGTTTTACGCGATCGTTTATCTCGCGCGTCTCGAAGGGCACAGTTTCCTAATACCACGTGGACTGAAGCAGATGATTACGTACCGGTGACTAGTAGCGAGGGGTTGCCTAATTCTGGGGTTTCTGCACCCAGTTCCACGGTGACTGCATCCACGGCTCCTGCGTCGGTTTCAGGGGTTACGACTGGATCAGGCGGTCAGCGTTCTCGTGTTTTGTTTTCAGTGCCTCCACAACCAGTTTTCTCTACTGGTCCTGGAGCCACTAGTTCTCCTCATGATGGTGGACTAGAATGCTAGTGATTTTCAGTTCGGTTTCGGTGTACCGAATTTCACTTTTGGAAATAATCAGGCACCACGAGGGTCAGGTAATGATGATCCTGGGTTGTCGGATTCGGCAATCTATCGTAGAGTTTTTGTTGATGGGGTTTGGACGTTCGTTCATGTTCCAACCGAGAGTCAGACTCCTACTAGGCAGCTTAATACTCAATCGCGAGGTCTTGAGGAAAGTGGACGTGCAAATCTTAATGCTTTCGATCGTGTGCATTCGTGGAAAATTTCGTTTTCTGGTTATAAAGGGGAGAATATCGAGGAATTCTTGAGGCAGGTTAATGTGTGTAAGAACGCTTGCAATATGAGTGACGACACCATGTTTCGTGTAATGCCGGTATTGTTAAAGGATATTGCTCTAAATTGGTGGGAGGTACGACGTTATACTTTCACTAACTATGATGATTTCATTCGGAGGTTTTTGAAACGTTTTTCCAACGCTGAGGTTAGGAGATGGCGCGCAGTTTACGATATCGTCGTTCGAACTCAGGGTGCTTTGGAGAGTGGGTCGGATTATCTTGATAACATTCGTCTAATGTGGGCTCATTCGTTAGACACTCATTTCCCAGTAGAGGCTAGACTTGATATCGCTTATGGTAATCTGAGGAGAGAATATCACACCTTGGTTTCTCGTCGTCAGTTTACTACTTTCGAAGAACTAGAGGAGTTGGTACAGGACTTCGATCAACGTAGAGATTTACCGACGTTGGTGGCACCACCAGCAGCAGGCGATACGATTTATCCAGCCTGTGCCTATGCTCCAGAGAAGTATAGGAAAAACGAGAAGAAGTCAGGTGGTGTTCAGGTCTGTGCCGTTGATCTTTCCACTAAGGGTCACTCCGGTGTTTCTTCGAATAAGGGGGCCTCAGGTAAAAGTTTTACACCTAAGGGTAGTGGGGGTAGGAGGAAGAGAAATTCGAAGCCTTCTGCTGCTGCTGCTGCTGTCGGTGGTCCTCTTGTTTCCGCTCCAGTTGTTCCTGTAAATTTGGTTTCAGCAGGGAGGTCTGCAGCTTCAGCTGATCGTCCACAGCTTTGTCACAACTGTGGTGGAATTGGACATTTTCGTGCAGGGTATACGAATCCTTCCAAGGGAATCTTTTGTTTCGGATGCGGGAAGGCAGGGGTGAAGACTCCTCAGTGTCCTGTTTGTCATCCAAAGGTTCAGGTTTCGGAAAACCCCAGCGGGAGACAGTGAGCAGTGATTCCGCATTGTCGACCGCTAATCAAGGAGTCAATTTTGTCGATTCTGGTAAT